GCAGCCTTGGTACAATTCTCCTGGCATCAGGATCCTGGGTCTTTTGCTGTCAGGTCATCTCTGTTGTGGCTGTTTTCAAAGTGCAGGTCTCTGTCTTGACATAAACAGAGCAATCCCTTAACTTTCCTGCTGGGAATGGTTTTCTGTGTTAACAGGTATCCATCCATTTAACCCTCTGTTCTGCTGTGCCTGCTGGTGCTTTCAAACATTTTCATTCATTCTTAATTCCCATCATCCTTTACTTTGCTGTTACAGATCACTACAGCTGCTGTACACACTCCTGATGCCTTTTTAAATAGAATTCATAACCTCTCTAAAATATCTAATGTAATGCCCCTGCCCTGCCCCCAGCCTTTGACAGCACACAGATGAATGTTCTGTTGAAGTGTAAATGAAGCTTGTAAATGTAATATATCATACTTGGTGAAAGAAACTCTAAAATCTGGGGACACACACACTATATCCCCTATATCTGCTGAAGCACAGGCTTCTTGAAATGCTGAAATATGTGTGAAATAATGAAAACACTGAGGTGGCCAATATAAACAGCTTTAAAAATAACAAAATTACACCTGCCAAAATAGTAATGGAAAACTGATAGTCTGTATTTCCCATGACGTGATGGAAGATTTGAACATACTGCTCCCACTGATGTCATGAAGTTACTGCTCTAAATTTACTGCTAATAGGTGGAAACCAAACCATTCCTGGTTTAATATCTTTTCGCTTGTTCCCAGCAATGGAATTTATAGATTATTTCTGACAGGAGGCAAAATGCTGACTCTACCTTAAACCTTGAAGCTGAAGTTTGCTAGTGCTGACCAGTGCTGGGTATGAAGTTGAGTTAGCAGTCAGCTTTAGGTGTGCAGCTACATGACAGCGTTAGACACTTTGAAATGCAGGATAGCACAGTGAAGTTACTAATTAGTCTTTTGCAGATAGTTATTAAAAGCCAGTGGTAATCAACTGAAAACTGACCAGTAGGAGCTTGCATGCTCCTGGCTTTTAGCATTTTTTAGCTACTCACTATTATTTGAAAGTAGAATCTTAAAACCTATTCTTTTAGTAGCCTTTTTCTTCATTCTGTAACTCAATTAATTTGTGACAGCGAGGCTAAAATGTGTTCCTGATGTCAGTGACTTATGACACAGATGCAGCTAAATGGGATAGCCTGAAAACTTCAGCTGAATTAAGGAGAGAATAAAATTGCAAATGCATGATACAGTACCTTAGAGAGAACAGAACATTACTGATCCAGCAGTTTACCCTATGAGTTCTTACACAGAGGAATGCTTTCTAGGGACAGGTACTCGAAGACCTGAAAGGACTTAAAGGTACAAGGCTGGATTTATTAGAGTTGGAGATAAATCAAACTTTGCACAAGCTAGAACTTGCATTTTTTTTCCCTAACATTGAGATCTAATAAAAATGGAAGTTAAATGTGGTTAAGATGCCACAGAAGAATGCAGTAAGAGATGCCACACATTGTCCTATGTACAATCTTAATGCAGAATACTCATTCATGATCTAGCATGCAAACATTGGGCCATGGTCTGTGACTATTTTTGTAACCACACACTTTCTGTCTTTTTCAAAGCTTGGACTGGACGCTGGTCCAGTCCAACACGATTGTACAGAACAAATTAATTAATACAATTAATTAATTAATTGTACAAAACAATTGTTCTGTACAGCTCAACACAATTGTACAGAAGTGCATGAAAACATTTTTTTAAAAAAATTTGTTGTGGAAATTGGAGTAAAAAAAAATCAGAACTATCTGTTCCTGCCTCTACTATAGAACTCCTATGTATCAACCTAATTACTCCAATCAAAGTGCTCCTAATTTTTTAATGTCAAATATTTGCATAGGTGGTCCTAGGTAGCTGAAACACTGAGCGCTTCCAAGCTGCAGCTGAAGTTTGATATATGTGTCTACACATACATCCTCTGAAATGGTGCTGGTATTGATATCCAAGCTGTTTTCAGTTAATTCTGATAAACCTGCAGTTCTGTGTACATTTATATACATATAATGCATAAGTGTCTATACACATGTACATAGAATCATAGAATTGCCTGGGTAGGAAGGGATCTTAAAGAACATCTCATTCCAACCCCCTCTCTTGGCCAGAGACACCTTTTGCTAGACCAGGTTACTCAGAGCCACATCCAACCTGGCCTTAAACACTTCCAGGGATGGGGCATCCACAATTTCTCTGGGCAACCTGTTCCCCTGCCTCACCACCCTCACCGCAAATAATTTTTTCCTGTTATCTAATGTAACCCTACTCTGTTTGAATCCATTCCCTCTTGTTCTGTCACTACATGCTCTTGTAATAAGTCCCTCTCCATCTTTCCTGTAGGCTCCCTTCAAGTGCTGAAAGGCCACAATCAGGTCACCCTCAAGCCTTCTCTCTAGGCTGAACAATCTCAATTCTCTCAACCTTTCCTTGTAGGAGATGTGTTCTATCCCTCTAATTATCTCCTCTGGACTTGCTCATGTCCTTCCTGCACTGAGGACCCCAGAGCTGGATTCTGTACATGTATGTGTGTGAGCTACAGGTTTTTTAGAATGAAGACAAGTTAGTTTGGGCACCAGTAGCATTCCTGTGATAAGCACAATCTTCCCCGTCAATTATAAAGCAATTGTTCATGACAGGGACACCAGAACTTGCCACGTAGCTGGTGAGAAATGTTTGTGCCTCAATGTTTTCTTCAGCCTTCAGAAGTGCTGGTTACTCTGCAAGTCTTAAAGACTTTCTCTGTTAACTGAGAATGCCCTACTGAGGAGGAAGAATATAACCTTATCAGAAAATTGGTTAAATGTGTTTGCTAAGGACTCCCATGTTACAGTAAGATGCCCATGAAATGACCATGGAGAAATAGTTTTAGTCAGTGCATTTAAAGTGAAACAAACTATAGTTTAGAGAAGGCATTGTAGCCACAGGTTCTTTACACAGCAAATACGGCAAATGGTGAATTTATTTAAAAGTATCCACCAACCGGAGAAATAGAAAGAGAAAAATATGACTCTCCCCACCTCCCCTCAGTGTGAACAAGGTTAAGTAGCATTTGTGCAAATGGATATATTTCTGGCTTGGAGCCAACTGGGGAGAGAAAGTAGTGCTATAGATAGAATCCCAGAAGGTGTAACAGAAGTTGCAGCAGGCTGTTGGAGGCTGAAGTATGTCAAGAATGAGGTTAGCAATCAGTAATTCCAGAGACTTTATTTAATAAAGTGGAGTCTGCTCACAGGTAGCAGACTCCACAGAATTCTAAACATGGAAGCAATTGCTGGTGTTCTTCTACTACTTGGGACAGTAAGTATAAACATTTTTGATTTACTAAGAGAAGGACACTTCAACACTCATTTAAGGGTCCTGGCCACTTGACAGCAGCAGGCTTTAAGTTCCATAGATGTAAAAGTATCTTTCCCCTGTCATTAAAACTCTCACTTTTGAAGGAACATTACCAGATGAACTGATCTTGATCAAACACGTATTTTATACGTGGTATAATATTTTTTTTTTAATTTAAAACTAAGTTTACTTTCCCAGTAAGATACTATTTTTTTTTTTTTGGCACAGGCATACAACAACATCATGTTCTCTATTCAGACAGAACATCCATCCACCCCTTATTTTCCTTGTAAAGAAGCACAGGGACAGGTTTTGGCCAATCTGCCTATAGCAACAGCTACTACTCTAATACAGTTATTATCTGTAATGTTAACCCTGCCCTCTGTAACTCAGCTGGGCTGGCTCAACATAACAAACACCACTGTAAGTAACAATGATGTGTTTCTGAGGCAGTAATATTCTAACTGCTCTTGAATCACTAATCTTGTGAACATTTCACACATATTTTACAATTAAAAGGGGAAGTTGGGTACAAATAAAATATACACCATCTAGGACTAGTGAAAGAAAAGATCATTATGAAGGTAGAGGTGTAAACCTGTGAAACTTACAGCAGGCAAAACCAGCCATACCCCCAAACCTCAGACTTACTTGCCCCTAATAATGGTTAACAGTTTCCAGCAATGTATAATTAGGGATCAATAAAATAACTCTGACACTGGAAACCACATTTCTCAAAGCAGTAGTTTTTGTTAATTGAATCATTATCTTTCTCTCTGCTTCTTGAGCTAAGGCATCCAGTGGTTTACTATGAGCCTGTATACAAATGCCTTCAATTAGTGGTTATTTCAAGGAGAGTTTATATTCTGCAGAAGAGCAAATTAATCTTTTCCCTTTTGAGATAACTGCATATTCAGGCCTCTGTGAATCATGGAAAGTGATGACAATTTGGAGGTAACAATTCTTTGTGAGGTGTACAGTTCCACAAGGTACAAGGAGAAATGACCAAGAAGCTTAAAGTGGCCTCTTTTATAATACATTCTTACAAACCTTCACACAGCACTTAAAAATGTGCCATAGCACATTACACATAACAAGAATCAGACACAGGCTATCATAAAGGTTTTTGGAAAGACTACAGCCTAACTTAATGAATAATAAATATGCCTAAAAATGCAAAGTACTTGTTTTAATAATAAAATACTACTTTAAAGTGGATCTTTAGGCATTTGATCTGACTGCCACCCATCTTCTTGGGAAGTATATTCTTCTTAAGATCTACAACCTGACTGTCAGGTTGCCTGCTATTTCATCAGTATAAGCTCTTCAGACTCCACAATTTGGGCTGCTAGAAATAATTTCCATAATGTTTCCAAGAGTTAAAATAGTTTATGTGTGCAAAGCACTGGATTACATCTCAGAAATGTGGATTTTGTTCTTGTTTCTGTAGGCCACCCAGATGGGTAATCTGCAAGGTTACCACTCTATTTCTCAGTTTCTTAATCTGTAAAATGGGGATAATTATATTCACTAGATTTTAAAAAACATTTCAAGATATATGTGGTTAAGGATTAAGCAATGTGAATTATCGCTCATGAGTAAGACACAGCACTGACTTATTCACTTTCATACTAGCATCTTTATTTAAACATTCGCAAAACACTCATTTTGTCAAACAGCAACTGCAAAGAAGCTTTTATCCAGCACATGGGTAACTAGAATAGTAGAGAAGTGATGAGGCACTATCTGGTATTTTAACTTCGAGTAACTGCAGTAATAAAAAGAGTTTCCAATTCAAGCCTGCCCTCCGCTGGCCTTAGCAGAACACTGCTAATAAATTTTGGATCAATAGTATCCTTCTGTAATGAAGTGAAGAAACTAAATTAATAGAGGCTAATGCATTTATTAAATGACTCCGTTATTCAGCATTTATAAAAATTTTGTAATAGTAGTTAAATTATTTGTAATATTTTTTAAAGTCCTATCTAGGCTCCCTGTCAAATTCATGTTTTTCAGGATTTCAAAAGCTCATCAGCATATCATCCATATTAGAGTTGCTGGAACTAAAATACAACATGGGAAGTAACGTTCTACATGCGGCTTTAAAGAAATTTAATAGAAAAACTACAGAAAAATATTCTTCTTTACACAATTAATGACTCTAAGATATAGTGCTGTATGTATTAGTCATGTACTGACACCCTAAAAGAGACCAGGATCAGTCTAGTCTAGTACTCTGTCACTAGAAGCAGCCTGTCCCCTTAAGTATGAGAGGAAAAAAGACGACCATTTATTACTGTGTTTATTTTAGAAAGAATTTTCCATCACAAATACCACACACAAATAACTCATCTCTAAACTCAGGACGACTCATTTTCCTTTCTATTTTTAAAGTAGGAAGGTAATTGGGGTGTGGGGAACTATCTTATTTATACTTACACAGATTCAACCAGAGTGATTTCAACCCCAAGGTGACATTGGTGTCTGAAATACAAAATCTGAATCATTATGTACTGGATGATGTGATTGAGCTAAAAAAGCCTCTGGTTCATGCATCTTGTCATCTTCATGCTTTGTTACACATAACTGCATTTAATCTCTTGTGACTGCTACCTACATCTAAAATAAAGGAGTACAATATTGTTTCTTCAGATGTGTAGTTAATATGCACTTGAAAAAAAAAAAGGGAAAATATAACTGTATTACAGAAATGGCTTTTTTTTTTGGACTGTTTAAATGCTTGGAAATCAGGTTAGATTCACAGCTTGTGCCAAATGTGCATAACAGACTTTATAAAGCAGAACATAAGGAATTTTCAGAAGTTCCTTGAATGTCCTCTGCATCTGCTAAAATTCTTGCTTAAATGGTTCTCATTCAAAAATGAGACCTTTAGAGTCTATTAACATTTCACAAAAAGCAGCAAAAGGCACACAACTAACCTGCCATTATGGGTTTGGGGTGGGTTTTTTTATTTGTTTGTTATTTTTTTTCTCTAGGCAGGAAGCTAGGGAAAAGCTACTGGAATCTCATTAATCACTGTAGTACCTACTGCTACAAATCACCCTCTTAAACCAGATTTCAGCATCTAAAATGACTAAAGTGCAGTTGTTCTGTACTTCTAGGAGAATAAAGTTTGAGATTTTTAATAATCCTTACTGAAAAGCAGCAGCAGTGATTGAAACACTGATAGGTATTTCCCTGAAAGGCCATTTGTTTTCTGTGCAGTAGTGGAAAGAGTCTTAGATGAACTTAAAGCCATGTGAAGCAGGCTGACAATATATAGAGAAGACACACTAGTGTGTCTACTTGACACACTATTACTATTTTGCAATTAGTAAAATTTAAAATCGTTTGTCTAGGCTAAATATGGCATATGACTCCACTAAAATAGACAAAGTATGGACAGAAACTGTGTATGAAAGGCAAAATGGAAGCATTTTAAGAGACAAAATTTTTTTGTAGTAGAATAATAAAAACTTCATTAACCATGAGTTGCGCTTCATTTAATCTTAATAGCACCAGATGAGACTTGGGAAAAAAAGACAAGAGCTTTCCTTGATTGCCTTCTGGTATCCAGGAAACACCTTAATTACTCTTCATTATGATACTATATTACTGATTCTAATCTTCCATGTGCTGAAGATCTCAATGAATTTTCAGTGAAATCTGAACTACTGAAATGCAAAAATTAAAGACAAACATAAACGTTGATACTTTTGTCCACACTGGTTGAATTTCCAAATTTTGAAAGGCAGCTCTTGCTGGAGTATCACCCTCAACAGGAAGCTCAGGCAGAACACCCTGACTGGGCTTGGCCAGAGGAGGTGTGAACTGCTCCTCATCTTCTTGGTCATGGTTAGGCCCTGCTGAATTAGGAATAAGACAATGGGTTTGTCCTTAAGTTTCTGAAGTCAATTCACCCTAAGTGAACAATGAAGATTAAATCAATACCTATGTTCAGTTTAACTAAATAATTAGTTCAACATTTAGATTTACTATGAATTATTCAGTTTGTATATATTCATATATACATGACACATTTCCTTTGTTGATTGGGCAATCTTATTCAAGATCTGAAAATACACATATTTTTACCTTTCCTTTTATGCTCTGGACTCAAATTTGTATTACAAGTTGTTATAAACTATTCTAATGACATCAGTAAAACATAGACTGTGCTATGCTTTAAATTCTATTGAAATTAAAGCTGTACTGAATTAAACTTTAATTTGCACTTAAAAAAAAAAATCTTAGTTTCACCAAACACCCTTCTTGTTTTGGACATTACAAGAAAAAAGGATACTTAAAGATATATACAGTAACTGAAATTACATATAATTTGTTTTACTGGGACTTAAGACAAAACCCAGAACAAACTGGCAAAAAACCCACACGGACCTTTTTCAGCTCTGCCTGGCTTATTTCAACTCAGAGGTTTTTCTTTTTGCTTTACTACATGTTTTCTCCTAGCTTGTAACCCGAGTTAATTAGTAGCTTGTTGTACACCTTTATCTTGCAAAATCTGAGAGTGCATCCAAAAGCTCTATTGTAAATCAGTAAAGCGAGTGCTGTGCATCAATCAGTTGCATTTTCAAATATTTAATTGTCAGAAAAAGTTGTTTCAGCAGCATTTTTTTTTGTAGTTGGATGCTAAGAAGGGCTATTACAACACTCATTGAAGAGAGAAAGCAGAATATGACTTATAGTTAGAATTTATTTTTCAAATGCTGCAATTCTATGTCCTGTATCAGAGAGAAAAAATTCATTTTTCTCTGCAGACTTACTTTATCAATTTCATGGCTGTTTCACCACAATACAATTTACTAAGGTTGGAATTGATAGAAAAGAACGTATACAAGCAAAGACTTTGGAAAATCAGAATATATTATTTGTTTTCCTCACCTTGTTTAAATCATAGTAAAAATTTGCCTAAAATAAGCATCTTTTAGGTCCTTTAAAATCTTTATAGATATGTGCTGTTAAAACAACATATTCTTCAGCAACAAAAATCTATTTGAGATGTGCTGACAAAGAAATGGTTTACATTAATAAAATACCTTTAGAAGAAAATCCTCCTAGAGTTAAACCATTGATGCTCAGCTGCTAAAAAGAGAGCTTAATTTAAAAACAATGAATGAGTAAATATGGGTATTAGCTTTGGCCTCAGAAAATCCTTTTATCCATCAGAACTTTGCGTATCACTGAAAGTATGTAAGGAATCAGATTATTGTTTTCATCCTTGGCCAAGTACTGAAATCATAAAAGCATGCACTGAAGAACTGTTGTATTTTTAGAAAAACTATCTATGGTAAAAGGCAGCAGAATCTCTACATGTAACATTTAATTTTCATTATTAAGTAAAAATGGGTAGAATGGGAAAGTAACGCTTCAAACAGAACAACAGTTGTGAAGCAGGTAATATTCAATTTTTAAGAACATCAACAGTTCTTCTCAGAGGTCTCTAAAAGCATTTGATGAAGTTCTTTCAATGTTGTCTTACCTCAGACTGCTGATTCTCCTTCCCTGGCCTCTGAAGCTGTAATGAAGAATAATGAGATTATAACTCCATGTCACCATGTCAGTTTTGGTTTAAATAAATTGTACAGTTACTGTATTAAAGATAAAAAAATACTATACTTTGCTGTTTGTTCCTCCCACTCTGATCATCCTACTAATTTTCAATAATTTTCAGCCAGCAGCCAAGCCCCACACAGCCACGCACTCACTACACCTCACAAACACTGGGATCAGGGAGAGAATCAGAAGTGTAAAGTTCTTTTAAACCCCCAGAAAATACACAGGTTAAAGACAGTTTAATAGGGAAGGCAAAAGCTGCACACAAGCAAAGCAAAGGAATTAATTTGCTGCTGCCCATGGGCAGGCAGGTGTTCAGCCATCCCCAGGACAGCAGGGCCCCATCACATCTAACAGTTACTTAGGAAGACAAACACCATCACCCCAAATGTCCCCCTCTTCCTGCTTCTTCCCCCCACTTTATATGCAGAGCATGATGTCCCATGGTCTGGAACATCCCTTTGGCCAGTTGGGGTCACCTGTCCTTGCTGTGTCTCCTCACAGCCTCTCATGCACCCCCAGCCTCACCAGCACTACAGTATGAAAAGCAGAAGAGACTTTGGCTCTGTGCAAACCCTGCTCAACAACACCAAAGACATCTCTGTATTATCAACTCTGTGTTCAGCACAAGTACAAAACACAGCCACTGTGAAGAAAATTACCTCAGGTGAACCCAGCACAGCATCTGGCTATATCACTTTTCTTGGAAATATCCTGTATCAGACAGTGACCAGAATACATCCAACAAGTAACATACAGAAATTCCTATGAAGAAGATTCTAATTTGGACAGAAAATTTTTATATGCATTACAGCTCTGCATTCCAAGCATATTTTGAAACTATGCTAAATGCAAAAACTCAGATTGACTCACCCCAAAGTAATCCATGTCTCAATAACACTCAGGAGACATTTTGGAATTCTGGTTGTTTTGCACATGACCTAATTGGACAGCCTTTGTCTTTGCTATTTTGATTGTAGCACTTTCCATTTCTTTATCTCTGTCTTTTCTGGTCTTTGTGAAATGAGAAGGAACATTTCCCAGATCAGTGGTACTGCAGGGAAGCAGGGATTTATTAGACTAAGTGAATAGAAATACTAAAATGTAACAGAAGGAACATCATTACTAGGGCACAATAAAAATAGGAAGTTTAGTCGTAACAATGAAGTGAAATAGAATGTCTAGTCATAATAGACTACTGTTTTTACTGACATTGTAAAGATTCATCCTGCAGTGGAAATCTGTTGAAGAGCTCTTCCTTATGTTCTTGTGCTATTTATACTGATCTATGGTATAATACCAAAGTATGAAACATCCACCATAGCGTCTTTGAAATCTAAGTTCCTCCTAAATAGGGTCAAACTCAAACTTTGCTCCCAAGCAAATGAATTTAATGCAGCTTCTTGTCAGTAAACCAGGGAAATCTCAAAAGTGAGATTTTTAAGTGCATAATGGAAACCTGCAGGGATTTCCTATCAAGTTTACAGTGATTTTTCAGAGACTTCAATGTGTCACTGCACTTTGTCTCCTTCATCAGCCTCTGAATTGCATGTACTGTTGCATGGTTTTATTTTGTGGTTTGCTGAGATTAAACTTTAGAGGTCTGGAATTCTTTGACCTGAAAGGCACTCTTGGTACTCAAAAAGACAAGTTAAAGCCATCTGACCAAGTATTATTTCCCTGAACCTGACAATTCACTGTTTCAGTCATATCTTTAAACAATCTCAATTCCCTCATTTGCCCATAAAAATGGAAGTATTTGGCCATTTTACAATGAGTATTAGTGATATTTATTTGCTGTGAAAACACTTGTGGAATTACTGCTAATCAAGTTAATAAAACAGTAGGGATTCATGTTCTTGTTCTGGTTGAAACCTCTGCAATTTTGTTTCTGATTTTTTTGTTATTGCTGATCACATGAAGCTCCAAGGCAAAAGAAATTCAGAAGTTTTTGCCACAAAAGACTTTCAACATCTATGGTATCACTAATTTTCTTTTGTCATTCCAGCAACTGGAGCTCTTGTTCTTCTTAGTTAATGGATACACTATTCCAAGTGAGTTTGTCTTCATTATCAGCCACAAGAAAAAAATTAAATAAAATCAAAATCCTTCATAGAAGTGTTATCACAATAAATTACAAACATGAGTACTCATAGCACAAAACTTCTGTCTTCTCCAGACAGAGTCTCCTCCATTTTATGGTCCCCATTTCTTTGGGTATTATGTTTTCTCCCTTCAAAACAGCTCAATGTTTCATGCCCAATCACAGGTACGTTTGCTTTATGGGCTAATTGTCAATATTTGAATTATGTGATTAGTGCTGTCCCAGAACTTTCGGAAGTATGACTGCTGCTCTCCTTCCCCCTTTGTGTGAGTCAGTAGATCACAAAAGAACTGCTGAGCTCTTCGACCTTCTAACATTCTAGGTGACACAGGAGCCAAATAAAGGCATGGAAAACTTCTGGGGTCAGCACAACCATTTACTGGTTTCTTTTTTCATTGTCAAGGTTTTGTGGGTTTGTTGGTTGGCTAGTTGAGGTCTTTCAGTGCAAATATGATATGTTGGACAGTTTGAGACTATGGATATGTGTTATGATGAAATAAGTGCTCTTCTCTGTCAAAATTCTTAGTTTACACACATCCTTTCACAGCTTCAGTATGTAAGACTGTGTAAATCTTGACCAGTAACTATACAGAATCAACACTGGTTTATTTGCACAAACATGCACCCTTGTGCTCTTCTAGCACTGATTTTGTCTGTGAGAAAACTGGCAAAGTAATATAACTTTCTTGCTACTAATTTCCTGGCTTTTGTACTTAAATCAATGAAATAACCTACAAGGTTTTAGTCAAACATTCAAATTGGCAGACATGACAAATGAAGGCTACCAAGTTTCTGTGCTCTGAAAATTATTCCTTGACTCAATGTGTGAAGGAAAGATCTGGTACATGTGGCACACTTTGGTGAGTATTCTTTGTCAAGAACACCCACAATAGCACTACATGCACTGTGTCACATGTGTCAGTGTTACACTAATTCTCAAAGGAGACAGAGCAACTGTTCAACACTTCATATCAGGTGATTTGTACATTCAACTTTCTGAATCCCATTTGCACTAAAATTACAGGAAGGAAAAATACCTTTTGAACTTTATTCCACTACAGTGGGTCATATTTTATTGCAATATTTTGTAAGAGATTATTAACAAGCTGTGCACTGTAATGAACAGTTGGTTTTGTATGTTTAGAAAGAACAAGCTGTAACAGTAACCACAGTGTGAAAACACATCTCACTCAGCCCCATCTACAAAGAAAAACCAATTTAATACAAACTGCTGAAAAATATGTTCCTGCAAGTCAAAAAAAAACAGGTTCAATGGTTTGAGTTCTCTTTTAAGTATGACAAGCCATTACCAATTAATGGATGTGTCTCTTGCACTACACTGGTTCAGAAGAAAAGTAAATTTTTTATCTTGAATGTTTGTACAATTCTACTTACACGTACTAATTTGAAAAGTTTGACAACAGTGATATACCAAAAAAATTGAAATCCAACACAAACTTGTAGATATAAAGACTTGTTCTCTTAATTTGCAGTCAGAATCCCAGAATTTCCCCCCCAAAGGCATATTCTTTTAGGAAAGGTGTAGGCTCCTAGTCCTATGAGCTTCATACTGATGCTCATGATGAATACAGCACTGATGCCTAACCTTTCCATAGGGATAAGCTATTCAGTTTATAAAGGAGACACTCACAAACTGTATGCCTCTACTTGTCAGATATCAATAAATGTGTGTCAATCATATGACTAGAAATACTGGTGTATCCCATGTTTAATGTGTATGGAAGCACAGGGCAGTGGGACTGGTGTACAATATGAAAAGCTGTGCATTCTGTAACATGACTGCATGTCTGTGCCATGACCTCACCCAACATGTTCTTTCATACCCCACACTTTGATTATTCATAGACCATGGCAAAAGCATGCCATGGGCTGCCAGAACCCTTCATGTTGCCTGCAGTTTTCTACCTGCCTCTACCTTGAGAGCAAGTAGTGAACTAAAAGCTCCTATTTCTATCTTGAAATGGCAGAATGGGCATCCACACACTGGAAGAGTAAATGGTATATCTGAACAAGTAATATTTATTATATCCCTGGATTCTTTCTTGTCTCTAAAAAGCACTGACTTGCTGCTATTCTTAATGTGACAAGTTGGCTACAGAACTTCAAGTAACTGCTGTAGACAAACCAACAAATAACATGCAGAACTTTGCTATAGGTAGCAGACATGATACAGCCTGATGGTGTTAACTGCTGCAGCTGCATTAGTAATAACAGGAACCTGAAGACTTGCATCTGGCGTGGATCTGGCATTACAGCAAAAGGCAGGAGGCTACCTGAGAAATAATGAAAACATGGTAAAGACATGATATAACTGGTTGAGTCGGTGGTCAGGGCACTGCAAGGTCAGAGACCATTCCTATAGGTTAAAAAAGAAAATGCCTCAGTGCTTATCTGGGCTCTGAGGTTAAGGACAACAAACTCCCAGTGCTGTGCTGGCAGTTTTTAGGTATCAGGTTTCCCTCTCCCCATATTTGTAGTCAAGCTTTCACTCCCTGAATTCCTCGTTTCCATGGACTGGATACAGCACACAGCCTAGTATCAAAAATCACGGAATATCCCGAGTTGGAAGAGACCCACGAGGATCATCGAAGTCCAGCTCCTGGCCCTGCACAGGACACGCCAAGAGTCACACCATGTGCCTAAGAGCGTTGTCCAAATACTTCTTGAACTCCGTCAGGCTTGGTGCTGTGACCACGTCCCTGGGGATGAAATGAAATGAAAACTGTTCCAGTGCCCAACCACCCCCCGGGGGAAGAACGTTTTTCTAACATCAAGACTAAACCTTCCTTGACACAGCCTTATGGAGAGCTTCACGGAGAGGCATTTCTAATTTTCTCCGGGAACACTTTTTCTTAGCATTCCATCTCTACCCTTCACTTACCAAAGGTACTTCCTACCCTCCACAGGCGGCGTGTGCGCAACACCTCGAGAGCTCCGGAAAGAGCAAGCACAAGAGTGCGGCAGGACCCAAGGCGCGCAGCAAGACCCACAGCGCTTGTAGCCCCCGCGCCCCTCACAGCCGGGCGGCCCCGCTGTGCCGATCCCGCTGCCGATCCCTCAGCTTGCGGCGCTGGAAAGCGGGCGGGATGAGCCCACCGGGGTCGCGACGGGCAGAGAACACCCGGTGGCCACAGCGCCGCCCGCGGCCGCCATTTCCTCACCCGCCCGAGGGCACGGCCAGCCCCGGTCCCCGCCCCGCAGCCCAGCGATGGGTCCCACCCAGCGCACGGCACTGTTACGAGAGCGGCCGCGCTCCTCCTCCTTCTCCTCCTCTTCCTCCTCCTCCTCCTCCTCTCTGCCCCGCCGCCGGGATGCCGAAGCTTAGCAAGGAGGCCAAGCAGCGGCTACAGCAGCTGTTCAAGGGCGGCCAGTTCGCCATCCGCTGGGGCTTCATCCCCGTAGTGCTCTATCTCGGTCAGTGCCGGGCGGGGGACGCGCGGGGGCCCTCGGCGGCCATTGCCGCGGCCGGGGTCTGGGGCGGCGGCTCCGATGGCCGCTGTCCGCCCCCGGGCCCGTCCGGGCGCTGCCGGGGGGCGGCGGGGCCGAGGGAAGGGCCCGGGGGCCCAGGGCCGCCCCGCCGCGCTCCCCCCGCCGCCCGCGGCCATCGCCGCGCATGTGCGCAGGGGAGGGCGGGGTTGCCCTTGGCCGAACTGTGGGACAGGGATTTTTGTTATAGTTGGGTATTTTGTTTGTTTGTATGGGGTTTGTTTGTTTTTTTTCCCCCCCTTCTTTGTAAAGAAGAAGTATGTGAACCTCCCACTTTACTCGGCCTTAGTGAGGCCACATCTGGAGTGCTGTGTTGAGTTCTGGGCTCCTCAGTGCAGGAAAGACGAGGAGCTGCTGGAGAGGATCCAACACAGGGCCACGAAGGTGATTAAGGGATTGGAGCATCTCTCTTATGAGGAGAGATTGCAGGTGCTGGGCCGGTTTAGTCCAGAGAAGAGAAGACTGGGAGGAGATCTCATTAAAGCGTAGAAGTACCTTAAAGACAAATTCCAAGAGATTGGAATCAGACTCTTTAGTGGTGCCCACCTACAGGACGGCGAGCAAAGGTCATGAACTAAAACACAAGAAGTTCCACCTCAACATGAGGAAGAAATTCTTCGTGTTGAGGATGGCAGAGCACTGGAACAGGCTGCCCAGGGAGGTCATGGGGTCTCCCCCTCTGGAGACACTCAAAACCCAGCTGGACTCGTTCCTGTGTCACCTGCTCAAGGTGACCCTGCCTTGGCTGGGGGTTGGACTAGGGGATCTCCAGAGGTCCCTTCCAACCTAACAATTCTGTAAGAATAATTTTTTTTTGCCCCTTTTCTTCCCTGGAGGCCAATCCTGTGTGAGGGCCCCTCTGGGGTATGGGCAGAGCACTGAAGCTGCCAAACAGCACATGGGGCTGTGATTTAACCCTGTGTCAGTGACTGCCTGCTGTAGTAGTCAGGGCTGTGCTTTGTGCTCTAGGGAGTCTGTGGTGAGGTGAATGCTGGGAGCACTTCTTCATGGTGCTGAGGGCAATGCCACCCTCTGGCTGAGGTTGAATTTCCTGCAACAGGAATACAGCTTACAGTCTCTCTCCCACCAAAAATGGTGTGGCTCCTATTTCCAAGCTGCAGTGGAATGTTAAGAGGATGCCTTGATGTTGTGCTTGGTGCCCAGGATATGTGTTGCTCCTGTCATCGGGCTGGCCAGGCATTACTGCCACATGGTAGTTCTGCTGAGTTAGAGTTGTATGCCATCAGCTGTCCCTGTTAAAGAGCTTGACCCACTTAGGACAGGCACATGTGCCACAGGCCTGACACGTTTCTTCATTTCTTTTGGGGTCCAGGAAGGCTGATCTCTGGAATTCATTTGGCTTACTTTCTGCCCAAACTGTTGGGCTTTTTGGGAAAAGCACCTAAATCAGGCAGGCATCTTTGCATTGAATGCAAACATGAAAGAGGGCTGGGAGCTTAGTGTGTTTTCAGTCAAATCTGAGAGGTTGTTTTGATTAATTGAAGGGAATGCAGTGCCTGGTTTGAAGGGCTTTGACTGTTTATAGATAACAACCAGGGAAATGTTGGTCTCTTCAGCTGTTACAGAAGTGCTTTAACATCAACTACAAGCAAAAGAAGTCACTTCAAAAGCTATGGAAAAACTAATTATCATTTTTAGGTCTGAACTTTAATTGCATTTCCATTTTTAGTTTAGCAATGATTTTAAATTAATAAGTTTTGGGTTGGAATTTCAGCAGAGTTTTGTGACGTAATTTGTTGAAGTTTTGTTTTGATTTAATTCCATGACAGTATCTGTGGATGTGGGAAAAATGCTCTTCTTTCTTAGTGATATCTGAGTGTCATGTTACTGGCACTAATAAGTTACATTAGTGACATTCAGTAGGTTACTTCAAATTGTATAAAGCCACCTTACTGTATTTACATTTGCACTAACACCAGGGTATATTTTTTTATACGCTAGTATATTTTTGTTATGTAGCAGTAAGAAATTTAAGTTGTAGCAGTTTTGGTTCATATTTCCACAAAATAAGTGGGTTGCACCACTTCTGTATAGCCTTATAAATTTATCTGGCTTTCTTATTTAAAAATACTGGGGGTGAGGGGAGGAGCCAGAAACATTCACACACAGCGTGACTGCAGTTAATGAATTTTTAAGCTGTGTTGCTGGACAGTATGGCAGCCAAAGAACTCAGGTCAGGATGTCTAATAGTCTCAAATCATTCAAGGTTGTCTTCAAAGAGCTTTTCCAGTGCCTGTGAAGTTAATGGAACTTTTTCCATTAACCTTTGTGGCCTGTGTTTCAGGCGACATGACATTAGTTATTTATTTTCTGTAAACAAGGGAAATAATATATTTTTCATGAAACATTCACTTCTAGATAGCCAGTGCAGTGTTGAACAGTCCCTGAATTGCACAGTTCTGTTTCAAGACTTTCATTTTACAGTCCAGAGAGCAAAGATACTTCATATGCTAAACCTTCAGTTGCTTCCCTAGCATACATATACTTTAGTCAGTTGGTATACTTGAGTCACTGGGGACTTGGGATGAACTCTTTGTAGTTAACTTTCATTTCATTTTCCTGGGTATTAGAAAATAACTTGTTTCTTTGCAAGCTTTAGTATTATGTAGCTTTTTCCTAAAAGTGCCAATTAGAATAGAAGATTTGAGGTTTAATTGATTAAACATTTAGCATTCTGTCATGCTAAATGGAGTGAACTGTTACTAAAAAACTGCTTTTAAGTTGTGTGTTAGATATCATTGGAAAATTGGCTGTTAGGCCTCAAGGTGCTCACTCTACACCAGTTTTAGGTGCCTTTGTTGGTAGAGGCCTGCTAGGTTGCTTTCTGAACAGCATTTAAAACCTGTGGGTTTGTGTGTGTAAAAGTATATATGTCTTGATCTCTGGGATAGATGACTTCCTTCATCTCATACAGTTAGTTGACCCTGAATTTTAAGTCAGGTAAAGATGCAGATAAGACTCTTGAAAAAAGGAAAAGTCTACGCTAGTATTTATTTTCTTTGCTTTCTATCCCTCGTAAGAATACACACTTTTTATTCAGGTTAGTGCACAGCTTCATTAATCACAATTCTCTGTTCAGTAGGGGTTTTTTTTATTGTTATTTAATGGGCTGGAATAATTTGATAAAGATTTAATTATATACAAATCTGCACATGCTTGTTTATTTTTATAGATGTATTAATGTATGTTTCACTTCAGGTTTTAAAAGAGGCGCAGATCCTGGAATGCCTGAGCCAACTATCTGGAGGTATGTATTGGTTCCAAATGTCCGTACAAACTCAGTGCAGATAGTTACTGATTTGGGTGTTATCTCTGGCCAGCAACGGTTGTGAATGATGCTTCCATCCCTTGTTTTTAATTGTTGTGGTTCTTGTTTCTTTGGAAATTCAAATGACAAGTCAGCAAAGTTCTAGTTCTTGGGAAGACCTTAATTTTGCATAGTTTTTAAGATATGGAACTTCCTGTGTCTTTTGTGTTACAGCTGCCCTTCTAATCTCTTGTAGAGCTAGTTTGTGCAGGTTTCTGCACTGAAGAATAACTTCTCAGATTTCTAGCACAACTTGAAACCAAAACCCAATCTCCTTCTGCCTTTGCAAATGAGGGAATAACATGGCATAAAAGGTGCATGAAATAATGGGCTGTATCCTTCAGTATTAGTCACTGTCATGAGGCAAAGTACATTAGGCTCATATTGCCTCTTTCTTGTGGGACTCTTTGTTATGCTGCAGTGTTATGGCATTAATAATGCTTAAGTTCTAGTGACATTTAAGTTTTATTGAAGGCCTTCCTTGGGTCTAACTAATTAAAGTTTTGGAGAAAGGGTGGTTCTGTTTTTCAAGAAATGCCTTTGATTACTGGGCAGGACCAGGTATTCCTAAAACAAATAATTGATGGACTGTATTGTTTGCAAAGTTAAAGATTAACTCTTCTGGCTTCACATAGTTACAGTGTCTAGAAATCCCATTTTTAGGACTGAGTAATTCAGTAGAAAGAGTAGAAGATAAGGGAAAAAAAGTAGTAAGATCATGTTAAAATTTCAGTGGAATCTGTTGTCTTAATAACCAAGTTCCGGCAGCTGTTTTCTTGCTGACAGTGTTTCTATGTTTAACTTCGCTGGTGGTTTGAGACTTCTTTTTTTTTGGTGTGCATGATGTGTTTTGTACCAGAATATATCTATGTGGATGCTACAAACAGATGTTTGGTCTAATCTGAAGCTTACAGATGCTCATTTTTGAGAGCATGTGTTGATGCTCTGTAGGCTTAAATTTTACTTTAAAGGTGGCATTATTTCAGTATTTTTGGGGCTAGTGTTTATTCTGTATATTTGTAGGGTCGTTCCTCCAGATTTGTGTTTTACAAATACCAATTTAAAGACAAGTATGTGCTGCAAATCTGACTTTCATTTCCTCCCCCTCCCCTTTCAGTTTACTTTGGGGCTGAAGGCTGTGGTGGTCCTGTTGTAGACGCAGCCGATGGACAGTGTCAGAAGATACGTACATTCCAGAGGATGAGGCCGACACTTAGACCAGCTGGATCAATCAGCTTGCTAATGACATAGGTTGTACATACAACAAAATGACATTTATATGGACCTAACTTATTTGCATTACGGTGTAATTAAATAAATACTGTTTGAATGGATACACTTTGGTTTTA